CTGCGTAAGCCTGAACTACATGCAGCAGAGTGCCCTTTGCTGCAAGACGTTTGTCAAGTGAACACGCATTCCAAACCTCCGGCTCCCCCTGCATAGAAGGCTTTAGCTACTTCGTGGACAGGCGCGCTCAGAAACTCACCGTGACCAAGGGCTGTGGGGCCCATATTCCATGTCAGTTGCCAAAACTGCGGTGTTGGGGTTTAGTAAATTAGTTGGTCGCTTTTTAGGACAAGTGGGATATCCCGAAAAATGCCATTTTGAGAAAATGGAAGGTAAAGTTTTTGCCCCCTTTTCAGTTTCATTAAAAACCGAGGAGAGTTTTCTATTAACTAAAAAATATATATAACCAATGAAACCAAACTTCTCCTACAGGTAGGGCAATGCCCTCTTTTGGTGTAGGAACAGATTTCTGGAAACCCCGAAATCTGGGTTAGCCCGCTTGTCCCTAAAAGTAATAAAAGCGATCAGTGAACCCTATTCGTACGTCCTGGGGTCATCCGGGGTTGTATTCTTCGCCTAAATTAGAATACTTCTAGGGCGAAGATCTCTTTGAAACTTTCAGTATTTCTCCAAAAATTCTTTTGACAGACTGCTATGCAAAGCGTACGGATCGGATTGACGAGTAAATGTCCTCTTTGGAAAGTGGTGGCACAGAGTTCCCCACGTCGTATAGATACGATAGTAAAACACAACATACGGATAGGGTTAAGTGGTGGCACAGAGTTCCCCACGTCGTATGGATACGATAGTAAAACAGGACGTACGGGTAGGGTTAAGTTTGTAACCACACACACACACGCGCACACACACACACACACACACACACACACACACACACCCCGTCCAACTATCTGTGTCCATATAACCCCCCACCCACATTCTAACCGCATCTGCAAACAATAGTAAACGACTCTGAGATAATAATAAAGCTATCTTTTTCCACTTCAATATTTCGTAATCCTAGATAGGCCACTTTCCCGCTAAATAGCGGAAACTCCGCTTCATCTAGCTTGTCCCGCTACTTTCCTCCTTCCTACGCTGGACCGCTCTCTGTCGCAAATTGCGATACTTTTTTTTACACGCGGAAAACACCGAACCGGGAGAGAGACGAAAACGTAGCTTGCGCATGTCCGCCCGTAGCTTTCTACTTCCGTTCTTCTAGGCCCAGCGCTAGTTTCACTTTGTTTATTGTGGAGCAACACAGTGTCGATTGGGCATCGGGACGTTAGCGCGCCGAGTTGTCAATGAAAACGGCGGAAATTCGAGAGAAATTGATGCTGAATGCAAAAATACAAGGAGCTGAAATGAGAAAGAAGCTGCCGGTGCGACTTGAAAAGTTCATGAGAAAATTGAACAAACCGCTTGCTGCACTTTGCGTTTGGTGCGATAAAGAAATCGCGGCCCACGGCACTCCTGTACAATTGCGGTCCCGTTTGTTTACATGACGGCTAGATTCTAGATCTAGATCTATATTGTGGCTGTTGATGAAGTGAACACTGAATCTAGATCTAGATCTAGATAACCTATCTCTAGATATAATCTAGATTTACACATATTTAGATATCTAGATTCTAGATCTAGATTAGATAGCCTAGGCTATATTCTATAATTTTAATTCAGGTTAGATCTACACTCTACAGAGGGACTACTAAGTTAAGTGCAAACGGGACTGCAGTTGTACAGGAGTGCTCAGTACAGCGGCAGAGGTGTTGCCTCTTTGATCCAATACTGCGCGATGTGCTCAGTACAGCGGCAGAGGTGTTGCCTCCTTGATCCAATACTGCGCGCACTCCACATCGATGTACAAGTTTTAAGTTGAAAGAAATCTTTTTATAAGACATGAGCTTGCAACAAACACTGGATTTTTAGTCACCAAGTCCAAACTGTGTCAAATTGACTGAAATGCTTGTTAGTCTACTTAACTTAGTGCCTTTGTTGGGTTTTTTTGTTTGTTTTTTGTTTTGTTGGGTTTTTTTCAAATACATTTTAATTCAGTTGCCTATGGTTAACAAATATGACAGTTTTCCCTTCCAAAACCATAGGCTAGATTTTCCAGTATATATTGCCTCTGGATCTCACTGGTTTTACACCAGCCTTCGGAGAGCGCGCATCCGCCTTCGCATGACTTTCCTCCTTTTTTGAAATTCCTGAGTGGCAGCTATGGTATATATAATTATGACTTATAGCAGGCTGAGACATTTATTTAATGATGTTTACGTTACAATATATGAAAGATGACATATATAAATATAAAATTATATATTATACTGTATAGATATACTTAAATATACATGTATTATGTGTGTCACGACACAGTGGAATTGGGCACTCGTCGATTTGGGGGCATACAAATGATAATATAGAGCCTGTATATATATATATAATATATAATATATGGAGCACACTGACTTGTGGTTTCAATAAATTGTTCCTTGACACTTCTGTTGTTGTTGTGACTTTAGTCGTAACAATTTTGAGTTCACTTTGAGCACAATTAGACGCAACAGAAAGCGGGTTGCATCAGTTCCAGTATCTACTGCCAGGGTCAACCCTGACCTTTTGTGATAGAAGGCCTACATTCCAGCAGAAACTTAACACCTTTTTCTGTACTGCTTGTTCGAAAAAAGGGAGCAGGGTTCCTAATAAACTTCGCCTCTTGCCAACCGATGGGTGAATGTTCACTAGATGCCAAGAATGCTTCTAGCATCCATTTATGGCAAGCTATGCTATAATTGTGCAAGCGCTCAGAGCCTGTGTACTTACATCGGGAACGCTACAAGGACACAACCTTGGACCGAGCTGAGGCTCGAACCCCCGAACCAACAATCTCATGATTACGGGCCCGTTAGCCTGACCACTAGACCACCGACGCCACCCTGTGCCTGTTCTTAGATAATGCTCACAAAACTTGAGCTTTATTTTTTTTTAGATTGCACTGCCAAAACAAGACCTTTACCTGTTCTCAGATTATACTCACAAAACATGCAACTTTACGTTACTACTTTTAGATTACGAATATTAAAAAAGACCTATGGAATTTTCATAAAGTATCATCATCATCACCACCACCATCATCATCTTCAGCATAATCATCATCATCAACATCATCATCACCATCATCATCAATATCATCATCATCACCATCATCCTCACCATCATCATCACCATCATCATCATCATCACCATCATCATCATCATCACTGACTTTCTCACCCTACATCAGGTTATAGGCCACAAACAAACGTGAAGTGTACACACAAGGAAATC